AATTTTGTTTGTGTAATTAATAAGATCTATATATTTAATCGTAATTTTTTTTTTTAAACTAATATTCATATTATATTAAATTAATTTGTCTATTAGAACGTAACTAAAACAATTTCAAACAATATTGATAAGAATTTGAGATTATTTTTAATGAAATGTTACTATCAAAAACTTTGTCGGGGAATATTTCCGTTCTGTTTGTCACCGGGTGATCTAAAAATATATGACTTTAATATTTCTCTATGTCAATCTTTTTTTTCATGACCGTGAAACGTTCTTCACGGACACAAACAGAAAGAGAGAGAGAGAGAGAGAGAGAGAGAGAAAGAGAGAGCTATCTCAAAGATAAAAAAAAGGAGAAATAAAAAAAAAAATAAAGAGAAGATGAGGATGACTATGTTGCTAAGATGACTCACACTTTAACGTACACCGTTCAAGATTGTTTATTCTTGAATATTCGAATAGTTCGCGACCATAATCTTATGTTAGTTAAGGCACATAGATTAATGATTCATTGATTATATATTTTATAATTATTTCGATAAGAGGTTTGTCGTCGATTATTGCTATTGTTTATAACACATACTTTGTTATAAGTGATTTAGAAATGTAAACGTATTACTTGCTGCTATTAATCGATTTGATTTTATCATTGATTTTACTTAATGTTAATAATAAACTTTCACGTTGATATCATTTAGATGGATTTGGAATAATTTATGATTATTTTGTTCGTATTAAATTTTTTTTCTTTCTTTTTTTTTTCTTTTAATTATCATTTTGTTTTTATCAAGTTTTTATTATTTTAAGTATGTTTTACAAATTTAATATTATTACGAATAAATTAATATTAATTATTATTAATGCGAATAAATATTAATTAAATAATTAATTAAAATATTAATTTTAATTATTAAATTTAAAATTATTTATATAAAATATTAAATTTAATTGATTAAAATATTAATTTAAAAATAGTATTATTATTAATTTTATAAAATTTTATAAATAATTAAGTTATTTTACAATAAAAAATATCGTTACTCGTCGAGTCGGGGGAATCTAATTACTTTTCTTTTTGCGTTGTTGTTGTTGTCGTTGTTGTTGTTTTTCGTAGAAAAATAGCTGTCAAATAAAAATGAAGGTAGAAAAAAAAAATAAAATTTAATAGAGGTCAAAACGACTAGACGGACACTTTTATAAATGTGCAACACATCAAGTTGACGATACAATAGGATCGGGAAAAAACCGCAGCAACGCGAAAAGCAACGGATATCGATCGATCGATGCCAATAACCTCACCTCTTTCTGACGTTTTACGGCTTTCGCAAAGTTTGTTAGGGTTATTGCACTGAAAACCAAGTAATTCCGGTGGATTCCTTTAAAAACGCAGTTGTCTTCCGACCTTTTCTTTATCTTTCCAATAAATGTTCTACTTTTCTTATACGTGTTACTCGTCATTTCATTTAAAAACTTTGACAAAATTTCTTCGTTTATTTACCTAAATTAAATAATACAATAATATTCTACTTTCTAAAGTCAGCCCAATTGTTAATGTAATATTTATATATTTAAAAATATAATAAATATATAAATATATAAAAAATATAATATGCGGGATTGGTTGAACAGAGTTGTAAGCTAATGTTCGACTCAAAATTTTTCAACTAGCTTACATATATTGCAAATTAATATTCAAATTTTTAATGTTATATTATTTAATATATTAAATAGTTTGGTATTGAGAAAAACATGTTTAATAATTTATATATAAATAAATAACATTATATATTCAGTATTTCATATTACTACTACTACTAGTATTACTACTATTATTAATGTATTTTTACTAATCAACTTTTAGTATTTCATAACTCAAAATAATTAAATCTTAATATTTTTAAATAATATTTTAGAAATAAAATTATATATATTATATTATTATATTATAATATTATAAATATAATAAATAATATTATAATATTTCAATATTATATTATATTACTTAAAATAATAATATATTTCAATATAAAATATTTTATTATTAAAATAATACACAAATATACAAGGTGTCTTGTACCTAATGGTACAAGTTAATAGGGTTGTGTTGAAAACAAAACTTTTTATTCTATAATATGAACACATTTTACTCTACATTTTTTTTACATAATTTTTCATGTAAAATCACCCAACCAATAACTTGTACCACCATTCATAGAACACCCTAATGAATGAAATTAAATATAAACCATCCTGTTAGTACAATATATATATAATAATAAAATAGTAATTATATTTTTTTGAATAATTATCAATTATAATTAATTAAGGATACGTAATAAAGGATAATTGCATAAAATAAAAGTCAAGAATGTAAGAAAAGCACGTAATGCATTTGGAATTTTTTGTTTTCTTTTTTTTTTTTTTTGTAAATGAAAAAGATTTACTTTCCTCATTTATTTCATGTCATTTATGTGATTTTACATTACAATGATTCGCATAGCGTTTTTCTCTTCTCGTAATAGATATTTACTATACTTACATTACAAGTATATTTTATTTTGTATTTCTCTCTTTTTAAACATTAATTTCGTTCATCTTCTAACGATAAGTGTGATCGAACGGGAGCCGTTTCTCGTAAAAATGTTTTTTATTTTTGTTAACCTCGGGGAGAAAATTCCTATCGTTTTATTTTTCTTTCATCTCTGAACTATTTATGATCATAATTAAATAAAGCGATCGATAATCAGCCTTTTTTTTCATTATTTCATTTTATTTTTTTGTTTCTTGTTTTTTTATTTTTCTCTATTTCTTTTTTTTCTATTTTTTTTTTTTATTTAATTTTTTTTTTTTACGTCAACGAATCGACGTGACATTTTTAGAAGGAGAAGAACATTTTTCTATTTTTTTTTCCTTCTTTTTTTCAAGCTATTAAAATGTATTCGCTATAAAATATATTACAATTTTGGTCTTTTCTTTTTCTTTCAAAAAAAAAAAAAAAAAAAAAACAACAGAGAGAACAGAATAAAATAAGAGTATTAATTATTTTTATGTAAAACAGCCGTTATATATTGATTCGTTTATTTGTTAATTAATTTATTTATTTGTAGATCAAAATTTTATTATATATATGATGACGGGTTGAAATGTTTAATTTTTTTTTTTTATTATCATAAATAAAAATGAATTCGACTGAAAATAATTGTTTTCGTATTTGGAAACCTTTCAATCCGTCCGTGCAAACAAAAAGAACATTTTTCACAATAAATTTATATTAAATCATTGTATTTAATATAAAAAATAATCTGGAATTAGAAAAATATGCGTTTGTTTAAATAACAATAATAATAATAATAATAATAATAATAATAATAATAATGATAATAATAATAATAATAATAATAAATAAAATTTATTTTGTAAATTTGCTTAAGAAACTCGTAGAAGAAAGATGAAAAATGACTAACTATCGTGTTAATTACACTTTTTCCTATTTCTTTGTTTCTTAAACAGCATTTTTCTTCATTTTGTTTAAATAATCTATTTCCTTTCTTTTGACATTGACGAGATGATTTTTTCTATCATACTTTTTTTTTAACCTTTCGACAAAATCCTCGGCACGATGCAAAGGAAAATTTAAATATCGTTCTCTTGTGATTTTTATTATTTTGTTGTTTTTTATTTTGTTAAATGTAATACTGATTGCAATATAAAAAAGAAGGGGATTAGTGAGATACGTGTCTACGTCATCAAAGATTTTTTTTTTATTTAAAACGCAATCAAACGACGAAAATATCGTCACCTGTTTCCGATTCTTCTCTCTCGTCTCATTTT